TGTGCGCCTACACAAGTTGTGTTTTTACAACTCAGAGTTGTGGTGCGAGATCACGTCTCCAAAGTCTGTTTTAACTTGACATCTGTGCGCAGGCATGCCTTCTCGCCACAAAAGATCTATGCTATGTACTTTCCTCGTGACATTTAAATGCATGCTAGTTCCAACTCAATAAATCTAGCTGGTATGCAAACATTTCGATAAGATGAACCAGAATCCCACTCATTTCACCCAGTCGCCGGGTTCGTGAAGGACTGAAGATGGGACTCGAAATAAGGTATGCTGATTTTTCAGGTGGCAATCGGTGAGAGTTGCACACTGTTGAGCAATTTTTGACCGTCACATTCGGCTAGGTGGTGTGGTGTCTATAAGCAGTAAAACATTCCACCTCACATAAACTTCAGCTCGGTGGGATACAAAGATTTTTGTGGTATGCTAGAACTTGAAAAGTCTCCTCAGCTCTGATACTTTCAGTTTACATATGGTTTTGAGAGGGAGGCGATAGAATTCAAACTTACAGTGAGTGCATCGATACCGCAGCTGTCGCGGCCGACTCGTATGTCTCAAATGTCGTTATAACGCATGCGATGGACTCATATGCAATGCAGTATTACGAGATACTGGACTTGGTGTTCTTACAGGTGTTGGTTCCGACGCGGACGCAAGCAGTAAACAGTAAAGGTTTGAGTAGTGGAGCAGAGTGTGGAGAGGACCTTGAGGCAATGCCTCTGATCGTCACTGAAACCTTCAGATCTTCAGCCGTATGATAGTGACTTGTCACCTGACATAAACTAACCATTGGTGAGTCTATAAAAATTGAACGTTTCTACTTGCTCACTTGAGAAGCTAACCAAATTATTCTTCGTACTTTTGCGCTTTATTACACAAAGTTGCCCCAGAATGGATACATTCGTTGCTGTCGGGTGTTCTATGAGATCTTCGGAGAAGAGACATCTTGCACCTGGGGACATTTTGCCCGCCTCAAAGAGTCCGTATTACGGAATTCCGCGTTTTTATACAATAATGATAGGAACGATGTGTGCAAAAAACTCTGTTCATGCTGCAACGGGTTTTCACACTTCTTTTGTAAAATTGTCCACTGGGCCGGATCCTCTTCACCCCAGTACTGTTAAACAACAATGTTCAAAATGTCGCAAAGATGACCGGGTGCCAACATCCCACTGAAAAAATACGTAAAGTACACTCAGTTGGAAACTAATTTGGTTGTAATGGGAGACTGTGTTGGATCTATCGTTTTGTGATATTCTTTCCCCTAACATGCTGCACAAAGTCAACGTCGTGTCTCAGTTGGTCCGATAATCAAGATATTGCGGTTGATTTCCTCCACGTAGCATACTACTTACAAGGGAACCGAAAACTGAAAGACCACTACCGGTTTTTCCTTTCTTTGGGCTCATCAAGTAGGCCTGGTCACAGACTGCATCAATCTACGGAATATCAGGCTGCATGAAGTTGAAAATGTACACTCATCTGCTGATTTAACTAAATCTCTCATCACATGGGTTTCGTGTTCAGGTAGAACACAAGGCTGGTGAAATCCTGGATACCTATTTGATGAGTCCTACGATGATGGGAGGCTATAGGAGAGTTTCCAGCAACTTTATAGGTAGGGTATGAAGCCAAGAAAATCAATAAGTTATACTTTCTTTTCGGACTATTTGCTTCGAAATCGCATAACACAGCCACGTAAGGTGATATATCTAGCCGCATTAGCTTTCCAAGAAACGGACCGCTTCTCCGGTCTCAGATGAATAATAATCCGATTGTACGGAAAAGCCACTACGATCGACTGACCTGCCTCACATCATCATCCCTATAGAAAAGATGATGAAACCAATAACAAACAGATATCCACATGAATTTACGGGACGTATGGTGGTAGATAGGACAACCGGTGTCGGACAGTCCGTAGGACTGCCGGAACAAATACCGACCCGAAACCGGATGACATTCCGAGAATTTTGCATATTTTTTTTGCAAGTTTTGCAATTTTGCTATAAGTGGATAGTTGTACGCAAGCACATTACGTTCGCATCGGACTTTTCAGCAATATAAGAATGCCTGAAGGCAAGCGGAAGAAATAAAGCTTTATTAAGTACTTATTCATCGCCGTCCACTTCTGAAGAATTTGTCACCTAGGTGTCGACAGAAGTTTCTATTCGACCAAAGGGAGCGACGAATTCATCGCCCTCTGCGAAGAGTCGTGCCACGTGGCCAAATTGGTGAGTTCGATAAAAACATGCAAAGAACTCTTGGAAATAAATTCTCGGCTATATGTCCTCCAAACTGTGTACACAATTATGAGGGGGCATGTGGAAGCTCACAGAGTCCTCCATTCTTGCGCTTGGTAAAGCGTCCCCCCACAGGACCAGGATAGCCAACAGAAATTCTAGGCCGTCAGTTGTCAAAATACCATCTCACTAGTCTGTAGGGCAGAGGCTGACGGAAATTGGACGGCACGTAGACGAAAGAGATAGTGTGACGATCAGCTCCGGCCTGGTAGGGTTGGATTGACCAGATATCAGACTTAGTATGGGAACAAACAAAACGCATCAGGAAGCAAGTTACGTGGGGTGCAGAAGTGTGACTACTGTTGACGTGGTCCATGATATCCTGACTAGTCAGTTGAATTTAGATCATGTACTCAGAGCAGTCCACTTGTACTGATCGCTACTAAACTTTTGAACCATGTCACCCTTTGATTCGGTGACGCAACATTCCAATTCACAGGTAGTGGAAGACAGAATACTGACCCGTTCCTGTCCTACACCATAATGACTATTGGACAAGGTGTGTGGGCAGCGTCCTAGAAAAACCTTGGAAATAACCAGCGTCATTGTGCTCCTGACCTTTCACCTGTTCTGTTCAAGGATGGCGGTGAGTTTCTCGATCGGCGCCTGTCCAGCTTGTTTGGATCTATCTGGGAGAAAGAGACCGTTACAAATGACTAAGGTGAATCGATAATAGTGCCCGTTTTCAAAAAGGGTACCTGCAATGTGTAGTAATCACAGAGGTATCACTTTGACTCCTATTGTAACAAGGCTTCTGTCCTCATTTTACGGCGGCACGCGAATCCTCAGCCCGTGAGCATCAAGCGGGAATTTGACTAGATAGAGAATGTCTTGACCACAATTTCACTGGTAATCACTTTGGCTCCCGTTGTAACAAGGCTTCTGTCCTCATCTTACGCCGGCACGCGAATCCTCAACCCGTGAGCATCAAGCGGGAATTTGACCAGATAGAGAATGTCTTGACCACAATTTCACACTCCGTCAGGCGTTAGGGCAACGCCAAATGTAAGACGACCCGGAATCTTGCTGTTCCTTGACTTCAAGGATTCGTTCGAAGTTTGTGAACGTGAACCGGTCCTCATACTCACGCGTCATTGTATAGCGAGTTCTCCCAAAAATTCCACACAAAAAGTGGTGTCCAACAAGGATATCCACTCTCCATTCTTGCTCAACTTTGTCATTGAAACTCAGAACCGCGGTATTGTTGCTTTTGAAAACCTTGTCGACATGGGGTACGCAGACGACATTGTCCTGATCTTTCAAGACAAAAGACAACCGCAGTATCTGTTGGATAAGATGGCCACCATCATACCATCTTTTGGCATGCGCCTAGCACCTTGAAAGTGCAAAGTAACGCATCAGTCTCTGAAAATGCCCCTTTCATTTCAAGGAGAATCACTGGAGGTTGTTGAGAGTTTTCATACTTCGACAGTTGTATTAGCTCTGACAGAAGGGCGTCTGAGAAACTCAGTACATGTCAAAGGTTCGAAACACGTTTGTTATTTGCGTAACGTATGGCGTTAAAAAGACAAGTCACGTATACCAGGCTATGGTAAAGGCAGTAGTGCGTAAGGTTGCGAAACATGGCCTATGCGGATGAACGAAAAGTCTACAGGTTTTGACCACCGACACCTCAGAAGTGTTGCTGATGTCGGATTGCGCCAATGAATTCGTCGAGATAATCAGAAAAAGGGTGTCTGCTTGTGCAGTGGGTACTTCAATCGCGCGAAACATCCAACACCACAAACTGCCGAAAGACTGCCTTCTGCGGCGTTGTACTCTGCGCCTGCTTCACAGTGCCGCAAACCGCGGGGTGGAAAACGTATGACTTGTTAGGTTGTTGGTGTAGTACACCCTCCAGAATGTGGTCCCCATGAACCTTGACCGGAGACATTGCAAGAAATAGTGGTTGATCGATATCAGTGGCCTTCGTGCCGTCAGTTTCTTTCCGATTGTTTGATTGAGCACTTGGAAAAGTAGGCATCTCAGAATGCTTGCGACAGGCCAGCACCAAGTCATATCGTTCACCCATTCTTCTTTTCGCTCTGATGCTTTAAGTATAATTAGACAAACTTTGTGGTTGTATGGCGGTAAATCATCATTGCCAACAGTGATGTTGCTGTCTCTGATGATGCTACACTGCAAGGTTGCAAAGCTGGCATGATACACCCGAAGAGCGGCCAAGTAGACCCGCTGCCGAAGCCGATCTGACGGAGGTAAATGAAAATCGATGGCATGCGAACGACCTTTAAGGGGTGGTGTGTAACCGTGATGCTACTGATGGGGAGGTACGCGAGTAGTATGTGTTGTTCGTGGAATTTCGCTCTGCGTCTTTTGAGAAGGGGAGAACTCTTGCGGAATTTGTGGGGTCGCTTTGTAACATTTGCTTGAATTTGAGCGATGAACGATTGGAGTCAATGAATATCCAGAAAGGTTAAAGAAGAGGCGTTCGGGAGAAGATTGATGTCCAGTTTTTGTAAATAGGATGTAAATGAGAGTTTTGCTTCCCTGTCCAATGGTCTGTAACCTGGCAGTTGGCATTTCCTAATAAATAACTCCGCAGCGAAGGTCTTCTTCCTTTCAGTCGGTATGGACAAAGCATGAAGACTGAATACCCAAAGCAAATAGTATTAGCTACAAGCTGTATTTTGCTGGTTGCGACAAACTTCAAAGTAAACTCGGATTAAACGCATGCCACCGAACATCAAAGCCGATCGAATAGAGAGTAATTTAGCGGTCACCCTACGAAGCTTGGCTAAGGATTGTACTGTTTGCACTGAGACCGAAACAACTTCAGCTGGATCTGAGATATCACGCCTCCGCACTGCAGCTGTGCCGACCAAAAAGACGACAGGAAGCCTTATCCCATTTGGATGGGATAAGCTGACACCTGAGAGGTGAAACACAATCTACACAATGAACTCCTTATTCTATCTAAAAAAAGTCAACCAAACTGCAATACGCATTTAAACTGACGGCTAAACGAACCAAATCAAACTATACTCGGTTGACTGTTCTACGTATTTGATACGATCACCATTATCTAAGACTGTCCTAGTATCTACAATCAAGACTACTTCCGAGTAGTCGGAACATCCACTTTTAGTTCAAGCTATTTTTTCAAACTTTCCTATGTCATACCCGTTGTCTACCACTGGCGCGACCCCAATAAACTCGAAACCCCCTTCTCTTGTCTTTCACTACTGGCTTTTATTCTTTTTCGCACTGCGCTCGGTTTTACGCCGACTATACCCCTTGGAAATGTATCTGCACGACTGGTCTCGCCAGAATCCACCAGAAATCGCTGTTTCACGAACTCTCCAACGCATGAATCGGAATAAATACGGAGAAGATGAGATGACAATGGTATAATACAAAGTGACACCACCACAGTGCGTATCAACCTATTGCAACAACGCTCAAGTCAGGGCTGGTTCCGTGGAAATTGACGGGCAGTCAAGGCTAGCTCTACAGTAAATAGTTTATCGACCACCTAGCATGCTGTGAACGCAGTACAAGTCATCTGAGAATAATGTGCAAGAGAAGAGAGAGGTGAGGTGTCACGGATGTTCATTCTGGAGATGTGGGCAGTCACAACAATAATCCGTAACGAGGATGGAAATGTATGCATGTGTTCATTCAGACGATAGGAAAAGCAACATTTGGCTCAGGGACCATAGTGAGGAGTTCAGCTCTTTTATACAGAGAGAAACACAGAAATAGTTTGAATTTACTTGAAATGTCCACTGATGTGTGCAGTACGCGTAATAATAACGAAGGGGAGCGAATGAACCGAGTAAAAAAGGGCAAATAATCACCGAGACAAACTCGGAGTACTGGGAATTGCGTCATGTTGGAAGTGGGAGGGGGGAATCACCGTGTAAGAGAAGCCGAAATAAAGAGATAGTCACTTAGATATGATATTTTTGTTGCTTAAAATTTGGATACATGGTAGAAAAAACAACGTGAAGGTATCTGTGTTTGACCACTTCGACATAATTAGAAAGAATGTTCATCAGTATGCGTTCGGTGCAAAGTACAGCGTGTATGAGTGAGAAGCCACCACAACCACCCAAAGAGGGATGGAGAAGAAAACAAAAAAGCCCATTCTGAGTAGTAGAGGTGAACAGAATCCAGTTATACTCACGACAACACTGGAAAGACTGGGCGCATGTGAACAACGCCTGTGGAAGCGAGCGAAACAGAGCGGAACACAGTTAACAGGTTGACGAAGGGGATTGTAAACGAACAATGAAAGGCGACTTGGTAGATCGAAAACCATTGAGGACGTCATCTTGACATGGAAGATGATGTTGTACAGACAGACAGAGTGAGTAGATCGGTTAAAACCCAGACGACATGACTGCGACGGTTGAACAGTTGTGAGAAAACGCAGAAGATAAATGAGAGAATGAATCACGAGGTCGTCAAGGTTTGCTCCAAACCTGCTGGAATCTGAAGTGGTTTGGCTCGAACGCGGTAAAAGGCGAAATTTTTAGGCAAGTTGAACCGGTTATCCTTCTGTAAAGACAAAAGACAGTAGATGAAGAAAAACTATAGGGAAAAAAGGGGAAGCTTGATCATCAAAAGTGGACTGCACAAAATTCAGTTCTGATAGATGTATTGCGACCACTAAGTCCAGAAACCCTGCAGCCTGAGAAATTCAATGGCAACTTTGGATCAATATTTCGCAAGAAGTGCAGTTCTTGATCGAGTACTTCACCCCAGGGCGTGAAAATTAAGAGCAGTTCTTGCTTACGAATTAGGCCTTTCAAAACTACTTGTCAACGGGCATCCAAACTGAATATAGCTCACTAAAGGAGAGTGTACAAAGTACCACTACAACTCAGGTAGACGGCGCGTGTCCCTTTGCAAACTGCAGCTGGAATATAGGTAACTCGGGTGCGCCGCTTGGCTGTTGGTCTGCTAGCCCAGCTTGGCATTTGGATTGCAAACGCTTCATCATCAATCGAGGTGACATCGTCAATGTGGGGTTGACGATGTCACCTCGATTGGTGATGAAGCATTTGCAATCAACTGCCAAGCTCGGCGAACAGACCAACAACCAAGGACTGTGTATTGCTGACACATCACGAGAGTTAAGTCGTTCAACTGTGTTAGTGTCAGCTGTTTACAGAAGTTGATATTGGTTAACTCAGTCATCCACGTGGCTTATCTGGTTGCATTTGAGCGTTTTTGACCTCCTATGTACAGTTAACTTAGGTCACGCATCGACCCAATCCCGTGACATGCACGCGGGATCCCATGAAAGATATTCAAGGTTTGGAAGCGTTCCATGTATCTTGGAAATTGTCATGTAGCGTGACAGCGAAAACCAATGCATGAATCTCGCATTTTCTAATTTGGGACACTTGTGGCAACACAGCGATGTATCCGTGATGCTCAAAGGACACGTATATCAGGTAGCACAAGTAGTGAAACAGAGACGTCTTCAGGACTCCGATGACTCAGAACTATAGGTCGTGTGGGCTGGTACTAACAAATCCACTACGAAACAACCAGAGAACGAATATTCGGCTGTACAAATCCTAACACAACTGGAGAATGTATTCAGTACCGAAGCCGCAGCAGTTTGGTAATGCGTTACGCATACGGAATCACAGCCAGCTGAAGATTTCGAATTTGCGTGCCTCATTTAGAGTGGTGCGAACGGAGAGGTGGCCTGACATACATGTAAAAGAAAGGTTACGAATAGTCTGGGTAGTGTCCAAGAGACCCGCGTAATCCTCCTTGTGCATGGATAGAGCCGCTGCAAGATGTTAATCGAGGTCACTGACGTAAAGTTCATCTGGATAGCTTGCATGAGTTACCGGAGTTGTGCGCGTTTCGAAGTGAGCGCAACAGGCTATCCACTGGTCCCATTTTACACTAAAGCTATTGAAAAAAATTATGGTCATACTGCAGCAAAGTATTGGCGTTGAATGCTGTTGTTGTACTACCGATGATAACTTTATGGCGCTGCAGAGCCTGCAATGTGATAATCTTAACAGAACGTGTGGTGGCGACGCTGCAGATCAGTGTTTGTCCTAGGGGAGAATTCGAACTGTCTCATTCACACCACCGGTTTGAACGGTTTGAAGAGACTAGTTCGTGCTAGTAAGTCGGAACAGACTGCCTCCCAATGCCGATGTTCACCGGAACTGGTGAACGTCTCACCCAGGTGTCACCGGCAGATGACGGACTATGAATTACGACGGCAACACAAGCCAGTATTCGCCATAAAGCAACGGATCTATACAACATGAACGTGGTGAATTTTCTGGGGCTGACAAGACGTGAGAAGAATGGAAGCCGCTATTCATGCAATGAAGCAAGATCAATGATGATGCATGTTCCTGATAACCTGAATGCTTTGATATGCCTGAAAAGGTGTCTTCCAGCCGAAGACACATATATTTGACATGGCTGTAACCAACGTCACAGTCAATTTGGGACGATATTATACTCGGTCAGCATCATTCACACCGAGATCATGGTACTAGACTTAAAGGCGAAATCCGGAAAATTACAACGTTAAGCTGAAGGGAGATGTTCCAACTACAGTGATCAGTGAATACAACACGAAGTCTCCTGGTCCCTCGAAAGTTGAGGCGTGATTAACCACTTGTCTCATAAAGACTAGCCTAACAGTGCTTTGCCGATCACCGTCCCTTTGCAGTCGGGCACTTGAACCATAGGCTGTGGAATATCGTTCGCTCTAGTCATCCTCTTACCTGGACATGGGTGCTCTGACAATAAGTAGACGATCAAACCTTACACGACCATGCTTTGAAGTTGATGGAAACATGAAAAAAGAGCCCGACAAAGGTGTTGAAGAACTTACACGTTTGGAAAGACAACGTTCCTTACGCTGGTAACTAGCCACGACAAAGTAGCTTCTGGGTTCCGCGCCGGACTGCATCGTCGCATCTTGTTCACCATGTTGCCTAGGCTGATGCTGACTGGTATCTACAGTGGGACAGATGAGTAAAAACAGACATGGGATGAGAAGGGAAACCGGATGATAAACACTTCACCTCTTAGGGGCGTTGTTCAGAGACTTCACTTACTACGGCCCATTAAGTGGACAAGAAACACTATCTAGAAATTAAATGGACGAGGTACATAAGTGTCTGTGCAAACGGAATTTAGTACAGCTGTACACGGACGTGCCGATGGAGACGGATATCAAACACTTGGTGAATGTTATACTGAAATGTACCAGTGTGCTCTTCATAGAGCATGAAAACAGCCAGACCGTACCGGTCATAACCTCTAAAATCTACGACTATGCCATCGTCTGTGCCGTTATCGTTAAAAGTGGGGCGAGACGGCCCAAGTGGTTAGAGCTGGTGCGAACCCGACCCCCGCCCCCCGACTCCACTCTGGTAGGTAAAGGCGAAAAGCCGTAGTACCGATACTACTGGCTGCAGTCCCATCTGACCACAAAGAGCTAATGGCGTGTCGAACTTAGTGCATCGTTTGACGAGGAGCGACAGGTTCTTCCATCATATGGTGAATCACAGTTGACTAACTTTGAAAGCGACCTAACAATCTTGGTTGAGAATTGTCACAACCAAATGTTTTGACTGAAATTTGTCGGGTTGTCATCGAGTTACAAGACGACCCTTGTAGTGAAAATGGAGTTGAAGAAAATGAGAACAAACCAGCGACGCCAATCTAGATTCCAACCATGTGTCTGCAACCAGTAGGGAGCTGGAAGTGTGTACACCACCAAAATAAAAACATGAACCAGCGATGAACACATGTAATATGAAATGTTGCTACGACTTTAGTGGAGGCCTGTGACCTGAGATCACGTGAGTGTCATTCGGTCCCAGCTAATATCATACTAGATAAGTCGGACTTTCCAAAACAGGGCGTCTTTAATATGAATTCGCTGTTTCAAAACTGCATTTTGTAGTTTGTGACACGGGCAAATCGTCTTAGATATCACCCACTTCTTTTGTTTTCTGAAGCATTAGTTAGATGGATAGTGGCTCTCAACAAATAAGGGCGAAGCAGTGTTGTCAAACGGATTTTGAAAATTACGGTGACTCCGTCCAGTCCACATCGAGGAAGTCATGAAGGGTGTATAGGATTGGTGTAAAGAGTGCTATTTCCGCCAGGTTATATCGACAGTTTCGGTATGCATTGCCTGACAAGGCAGTCTTCGAATAGAGGATAGCACAAAGCGCGTAACTCACGACTGCGCGACAAAATACGAAAAACTCAACAATGGGTCTAAGCCAACGTGGGTTGGGGCATGGGAGATTCATCCTTCAAATGCTTGGAAACACTTACTGATATACGGCCACTTTACATTATCTGTTGCTACACGCTATTGGGAGACGAACCACGCGGCTCAGGTTGCCAAACAGAACCGCGTTGAGTGCATGTTAACGGGGAGATACGCCAAACCCCTAAAGAATTCCTCGATGCCCTAGGTTGCAGTGGGAGAATCGCTTGAGAAAAAACGGTAGACTCGCAAAGAACTGTAGTTCGTACTAGGGATCGCCTTTGTATTATCAATGAACGAGTGCAAGTTAAGGGCTGAAAGCTGTGCTCACAAGCAACGTCAAGACAACCAGGCTGTCTCGAACGTCCGACTGATTGAGTTCTCGCCGGATTTCCAAAAGGCTTGCAGTAGTCTGTTTGCGGGTCCAGGTTCAATGCGGCAAAGTCATCCTGATGCAAAAAGTACACATGGCCGTCGGAAGACAGCATTCTCCACTGGGTTACCGCAGCCTCCGAACTAACGCCTTTTGACGATTTGGAGGGATTGGCCTGGACCGGACCATCAGCACGGTGCTCCCCGGGTGGATAGAAGGACGAGGCCAACAAATCGCCCACGGTGCTTGAGAAGAGTTCTTTGAACAATGAGGATTTTGTTTTTCCTGACCCTGTTGTTGTTGCTGGGGTGGTACTTGTATACATGAAATCACGCGTTCGTGAGAGACAATGGGCAGTTGTAGTCGACGAGCTGATGTCCATCGATTGAATAATTGTTGAGGATAACATTGAGGAGGTGGGGTTGATCGCCTTCAGTACGCCTGTAGAAGGAGGTGAGCTGCCAGGTTCTGGTTCGCCAGAAAAGCGTCTTTTGGAAGGCGAGGTGTAGTGTGTAGATCCACGGATGGGTACAAACACCACGGTATCATTATGGACGAAGCTGGAATGGGGGAAGGTGAGAGCCGGAAACAAGAGTAGAGGATGCTTATGAATGGATTGATACTATTTAAGGATAGTATTGAGCGTTCATGGGACACGGACACAACTGACCCTAATAGTTCACCTCGAGAACAGCAATTCGGAACCACTTGGAAAGCCTGGTATAAGGAATTCCATCTTGGTTTTGACGAGTAATCTACCGGAAAGTAGACTTTGTTGGTAAATTTCCAAAAGCGCTTCGAACGGTAAGGAAGCCTGGACTTCATTGGGGCGAAAACGCGTCCATCAACGAAGGGAAAAAGCATAAAAAACCCGCAATTTTAACGTAACCTCAGCTTATCAGAATACATTCACCGGATCCTGCTTTATTTCAATGCACGAGAAGAACGGGGTAAGGTGAACAGTCTCTTGGACAGTCTCGGAAAAGTCAAGCGAATTCGGACATTTTGTGCGGAGACAAATGGTGAACCCTCCGCGATTGCAGTAAAAGGTTATGCTCAAAGCAGAAAGGTTCGAAACCAAACACGTCAACCAGGATGTTCACTCCAACGTAGAATGAACAAATTCTCTGACAGTAATTAGTGTATCAGTCCGATGAACCGTTGTTAGGGTGACAGCGAGTTGTCGACAAAATTTTATCTACTTCCCACACTGTTTATGAAGACAGCGCCGCATCTAATTGGAGAGAATAATTGGCCTTAATCGGTAAGTGAATCCAAACTTTGATGAAATTAGGGGTTGACAACAGAATAACATCGGACTGTTTTGTGAGTTAAGAAATTGTTCAGCTGTAACACCCCCTGCAGCGTCTACTTGTCATGCTACTCGAAGAAAACACGCGGGATGAGACAGTGCCAGGTTACCTAAGCCTAGAAGGAGACACAAATCGAGATGCATAAACGCTGAGCTATTTGAAGTACTTTGTGGTTAAAAGCTTTGAAGATTCACGGCTGTCCCAAATGGATTACAAAAAAGTTACATCCGGGGACCGTTCCAATACACCTTAGGAATGTTCCGTTGGCTTCAGTCTGATACAGATCGATTCTTCTGCCATGTGTAAGGAAGACAGAAGACATCAGTACCAGACCGCTGGATACGATACTCGTACTTTGCTGCAACATAACCCGGTACATCTTAGTGGAAACAATCGATTCTCTACCATCAAACTGTATTGCTGTCAAAAATGAACGGTGGTTGTTGCACACAGATGGCTTATCCACGCATGGGCGTAGTCCGGTAAACCAACAGATCACGTGACACTCCTTTCCACTGTAATATGCACGTGAACAGTGAAACTGAGAGACCAATAGACTAGTCTCGAATCGACACGGGATAGCCGTCCTTTGAAAATCGGATAGTGTGACATTTGGGGAGCAGGTATCAGAGTCGGTTAAAACTGCACATCGCGTACTCACTTGGAATGGGTAAACTTCAAGAAACGCTGTAGGACTTTGACTGATGACAGAGCTAGGGGATTGGCTAGGGGATAGGTCGAGTCAGACAACGCGGTGGGAATCACATCGGTCAAGGCGGGCAGCGTAGGCAAGATCTGCAAAAAGAGACGTACAACATAAGCAATGACCCGGCGATTAATGAAAGACAATGAGGGAGCGGATGGAGAAATGGGGAAATTTACCTGATGGGTTGGTAGAATGGAAGATAAGCTTTGTTCGATGGAAGAAATTGTACCTGTGGAGAAAGAACGTACAACACACCGTTGTAAAAAAAAGTCAACGGAGTGGCAAGTAAAAGTTGCGATTATTTGAGAAGTGCGGCGCGGTATAGTATAAACATCGTTCAGTGAAACGTCTCCCAGTCGTACTCAAAACAAATTCGATGCATACATTCATTTGACTGAAACGCTTAGGGTATTCACGGAATGTGCACAAGTGAGGCCGGAGGTCGCGTACTACTGAACCAAAGAATGTGCTCAGACCGTCGATCCTGTTGCATGCACCGGATGAATCTCAACATGAAATAAAAAACACCGACCACAGGCAGTTATCCCCCTAATTGTCAGTTGTAAGCCGCAAATTCGAGGTTCAGTTACCATATTCTCCAAGAGGATATTGAAAGGTATGGAATACTCATCTGGCTATCCGAAAATCGCCAGATTATCAAAGTTAAATTTCCTTCGTCACAGTCTTCAGAATCATACAAAACACAAAGTTGTGACGGTCTATCGGATGTGTACAAAATAACGAACTGACTGCAAAGGAACTGAACAGGCTTTGGGTACTCTGTGAAAGACATTGAGAAGGGTGGAGACTCCTTGAGTATACAAAAGGATCATGGACAATAACAGTCGAGGAGTAGGTATTCGCGCTTAGTTGAAAACAGCCTCACCAAAGAGTGAGGAGATGGAACGAAGACGCTTGAAGTCCCTAGTAAAAACGATTAAGACGAAGATCTATACAGCCTGTTCTGCACTGATCCCAGTACGGGATGAAGAAAACCCCGTGGATCCTTTGTGTCGGCAGGCGCGAATGTTCCACGCTATTACTGAAGACGCAGAAGTTTGTCAGATAGATTAGAACAACAGTCAACTCGGGACACGTGGATCAGTGCGAATTACACAGGAACAATCAAACAGTCAGTCGGGATGAAAATCTATCAGACTGTCTGAGTTTAAAAGGGGAACCACGAGAATAACCGAACTTTCGGTCCGTAGCTTGCGTCCTAACTTCGGCAGGAAAACGTCCGAGACACCAACAACGCACAAAATGGCAAACCAAGACTTTTCAAATTCAGTGGCTCAGTGAGGAATACTTTATCAAACAGGTCATGAAAAGCTACGGATCGATTGACAAATACGCACAAGGCAAAAGACGTGGTAAAGAGTACGGATATGTGAGAAAAAGGGTTGAAAACAATGAGTAGCTTACCTAGCGGGGTCGTACACGTGCCACAATCTGCCCTACCCACCGAACGATCTACCTGGACACCTACTGACTCTGTGGGAACAGCACGGCTCTCACCAGGAGATATGGTCTGCAAACAAAGGTAAAAGCATGGAAGTATATGTCAGGATGGAGAAGGTCTCGATATCAATGCATGGTGGATGAAACTGGCTGAAAAACGAAACTGGACACCAAGAAACTGGGAGAAGAGCGAACCAAACCTAATTCGCTAGGTAAAGAGGGTTTAAAGTGGCTCGAACAAACTCCACATGACTATGAAGCGTTGAGGAGTATAATATTACACCTTCCAGAAGGAAGCAACCTGGGTTGAGAGCTGGCGCTATTGACGAGGCTGATCATCAGTCAAGTGTCACGTACTAATCCAGCCATCAAAGCTTTATTATGGTTTGAAATGAGTAAATGATGCTTTTCGAGAGAGGTTATGTGAGATGTTGTGTCGCAAATGAATTTTGAGGATTGTAGGAGAGTATGCAAGTAACGCTTGATGGAAGGGAAGAGTAGTTATGAGTGACTTACCGTTGTTGGAGAGGTATCTGACTGAACGGTTGAGGTCTCTCGAGTTCGAGGATGAAAGGCACACACAGGACCAGCGGAAGAGTTCACAAAACGAGCGAGAATCTGAAAATACAGACAGGAGTCTGTCGAGCGAGCTGTCTTGGTCAGAAAAACACTTGTGAAGATTAACTACTGACAAAAATATAGTACGAAGAAAGTGCGCGGAACATTGTGCTTGAAATTCGACGGGAGAGATCATATGCCGGACAAGGGCAGATGAGTGTTCACCTCGATTGTAAAAGTTTGCGATTACCTGCGATAGTGTGTGGAATGATATAAAATCCAGACGAAACTCCCTCCCAACTCTGTTTGGTCCACGCATCCCGGGAAGGTGGATATGCTAGCATATTGCCAAAGCGCTATCGTGCATGTGGTTATCGTTCTGTAAAACTGTGATCACATAACCATCAAAATAATCACTTTAAGCCAAGCACAGCGTGCTTCACACAATTCCATTCACGGAACTGCGAAGCAAAAATGACTGTGATTTGAGTAGCGATAGATCGATAAGCGCTCTCCAGCACGATGAACACGAAGCACATGTATCAATCAAATGGAGGGTGTAAAAAACTTCACTGCAAAAAGTTGACCGGAGCCACTCTTTCAATGCAGAGCCGCTACGCATCACTGCAGAAATAATGGACCCAGACATGGAGCGGATAGCACGTGACGCGTGAACAGCTGTAACATGGTGCACTGCTCCCTGCGAGAATGACCTGGTTAGCAGACAGTTCTGATGTCAGTGATTTCGTTCCAATACAATTACTCCTCAAGCTAATGAAGCTCCAAGGATCCAAGAGTTGACCTGGAGTTAATATGGTCTTACCTCTTCGAAGAAGCACCAAAATGTGAATTCAACGACCCATTGGACGATTGTCCCTTCCAAAGGCATGTCGTAAGGGTTGTCGGTACACTTTTCGATCCAGTCTTTTCGGCAATTGGCGTGTCATTCGTTGGAGCATATCACAGTGGCAACACTAATTGGGGGTAGGCATTTTAAAGACCGGAAGAGGTAACGCGCAGCGATTCGTCTGCAGCGCGTTTTCAACTGTCAGCGTTTTTCATGGTGTAATACATAGCTACGTGATTCCTATTCTTGTTCAACTAGGTGACAAAAATTACCAGATTACTAAGAATCAAGCTTGACAGGGGTTGTGAGTGGTAGCACAGTTAGAAGACACATTAGCACGGACGAGCATCTCCGGTGCAATAGCGGTAAAACCAAGTAAGTTCAGTGACTATCCACCGATGAGGAGACGTGGGCTGTCGGTAAGATAGAGTACAGCAAGAGGATGTATAAGTTTGTTTTAAACGGAATCCGGGCTACATGAAGTGCAAACCGAATGTGGGCATCAAAGGTAGTGAGATGGCGGGCAAGGACGATCCGGCGTAGACACAAAAGCCGCTCCTAAAGCGGAATTAATGGAGCAGTAAGTGGTCTGGAGGAAAATGAAGACCGGTGAGGTCATCAGAACCGGGTATTCGGAGTGCATATTCAAAGTGCAGCAATACAGAGAGAATGGAGGACGATCAGAAATGGTGAGCCGTGTTGACATTGCGAGTCAAACTAGTGGATACCGCGCCACAAGAGATCGCAAGGTAGTGAAGGGAGGAGAGCCTTTGTTCCTTCGATGGGCACCGCAAACTAAGGGTTTAGAGGATTCCTGTGGGTTGGGCGATGATATTGCTACGCAAGGCAGCCTGAGTCATCTAGCACTACCGGTGAAAGGAAGAAGGCCTTCTCTGCGGAGAAAATGCCAACTGAACAGTTACAGACTGTTGAAGAGGGAAGCAAAACTCGCATATGCATCTTGTTTACAAAACTGAATATCTATATTCTCCTTGAACGCGTCTTCCCGAACTTTCCTGGATATTCATTGACTGTTACTCAGTTGCAAGAAAATAATACCGAGCGACTCCACTAATTCCGCAATAGATCTCACTTTTCAAGAGACACCAAGCGGATTTACGAGAAAACATACTACTCGCATGCCCTCCATCAGTGGTATCACCGTTAAACCGGCAGATTCCATTGCAAGCCGCAGAAGGCATTTCAATCACCTGAACACAGTCACCCAGTCTGTGAAGGAATCCCCCCACCAACAAGAAAGACATTTTAGCAGCATTCAAAGCTGCATTCTTGAAGGAGCTCCGTTTTGGTACGACTCTGGATTTACCTGGACGGTGGTGTGCCAGGTCCTAAAACCGGGTTCAGTTTGAAACACCATTTCTGCTAAACCTAGTGTGTAAAAACGTGTAGATGAGAGTATATTGCTAGTTGTTTTCATTCCGTATTGAGACTTGGGATTTCTTGCTGTTTTCCATTCATTAATTCACGAACAATGTTAGCAGGCCACAGTGCATGAAAACTGAGCTTATCATGTGTAACTGTATGTTTGAAGGGCGGACATGTTCAGCTGAGTAGGTCGAGCGATCGGTGTTCTTACTAAACCAGTTAACCGCTCAGATTTGACCACGAACACTCAGCGGAGAAGACAACACAGCACAAGACCAGTACGGCAAAGTAATCACTTATGTGTCCACCGAAAGCTGAGGTCAATTCCGGTACATAGCTCCCGCACGGTACATTCGCCTTGTGAACACGACAACTGAGGTTGTCTACCTCGCCTTGCCGGACATACTGACAGTGGTACGTACACACACACACACACACACACACACACACAAAGAGAGAGAGAGAGAGAAAGAAAGAAAGCTGTTTCCACGCTCCAATCTAAGGTGAGCGGAAACGATGAACCAGGGATCCGGTGTGACTTCGCCTGACAGTGGTACATTACCTATTCATCAAAAAACGCACATAAGCTACTCAGCACTGGTATGCACATAGGTTCGTACGATGAGTTGAAACAGTATCTGGTCAGATGCCTTGGTAAGCCGCTTCACTTAAGGACTGTTGAGAGGTGTAGCCCGGCGAAACAACTTGTGCTTTCTAGTTACGGCTGCCCGGCCTCAGAAACCTGTCCTCCATATGCTTGCTTCTACTGACCATTCCGATCTAAGCTAATCTGGAATTTCCCGCTGAACGGCTCCTAAGCATCAACGCTCCAAACTTTCGACGTTGATGAGCGTTCTTCTCCCTGTGCGACCTGGTGGGACGATCGGACGTGGCAGATAGAAGTGTCAGAAAGTCCATCATCCTGCATACTATCATAAAAGGGCAGACCTGACTAAGCGAAGGATCCGTCTATAGAACGCTCCGATATCCGATACCCGGATATCCACGGGTGTCGTGCAGACCTGTTAACAAGTAGTGTAAACACACAGTAACTCGGGTTTGAACGGTGGATCGTGGCGCGTATTGAGCCTGATTTCATATAACTTGAAGCACATGTCGACAGACGATATGAGGTCAAGCAAGAGAAGAAGCTACTTCAAATCGCGTTCGAACTTGCAATCCAAATTCGTGTGGTTGATTGGCCTACGTGCATTTATACGCTATTGCTGTGATTCGAGCATGCTCGTGTCGAAATGCAGATGGGAAGCTGTGAGCTCCATTTTTGACAGAGCCCTAAACGGATAAACAATATATGACGAAACGATAATGGGGAGATCAGAAACCCTTGCACTTATAATCACTACCCGTTGTACGTGGATCACACGTCGAGGCTAACAGAGAAAATGATCTGTCTAAAGTTCCCACTTCCGAACCAAAAAAATCAGCTGTAGCACCCTCCAGTGCCTAGCAGCCATGGTAACCGAGAGAAGCACAAGGTCTGAGGTACTGCCAGATTACCCAATCCTAAACAGGAGCAATCGAGATACAGAGGTTGGGTTCGAACTACGGACCTTCAGGTCATAATGTTATCAACCTGAGCACTGAGCTATTTCGGACCCCGGATATACTGGTCCTAGTTAAATGATTATGCCTGGTGCGTATCGGAGGCAATTTATTCTGGCTGCTTCAAAACGATAGGAGATTTTCTGCCTCATTTCAGGCTAGCAACTGTTCATCGCTCATGTGTGAGAACCTATGTGTTCCAAGCCCTGTCGATGCGAAATACCTCAGTGTCATTCTATCCAACAACCTCAGTTGGTCATCGCAAGTCCAAACTTTTAGTACCAAAGTACAACAACTTTCTCACTATGATCCCAAATTGAGAGCGTTACCTCTCCCCTTAAACCTTAACAGTAAATTTCTGTTTGGATGCTGGTCTGTTTACCGAGCTTGGCAGTTGGATTGCAAACGCTTCATCACCAACCTAGGTGACATCGTCAGTGACTCAACCCTGAACTGACGATGCCACCTCGATTGGTGATGAAACGTTTGCAATCCAACTGGCAAGTTGGGCCAACAGACCAACAACCAAGCAGCGCACCCGAGCTACCTACATTCCACAACATTGCCATAACGCTTCTGCTGCACGTCTGCATCCCTGTTGGATTATTCATTAACCCCTCAGTTAAGCCACTTAAACATGCCACTAAGTGGAGTGAAATTGCAAAAAGCTCCTTAACTGTGTGGTTAGAAGGCACTTTGACGCGTCTTAACTATACCCAGAGAATTCTGTCGGATAGTCAACATCCTGTCCACCCCACTTAATCTCAGAACACAGGATCCACAAGGATTAGTCTGCAGTATTTTGTCAACATACCACTCCTTGTAAAGTAATTCACTCCATTCAGAATACTTCCTCATCAGCTTGACAAGTATATGCCTATTCTGTATCATGCACCGACTGTGGTCTGGAAACTAACCGCTCTGGATGTAATTATCATCATAATCATCATCGACAGCATGACATCAGTGTTCAACACCGATGTTTTCCTGCCGTACAACCATGATTTATTCGAAAGCCTTATTGTAAAGATAAGAGTAAAGGTGGACGGGGAAAGGACTTAGTGCTAGCTTACCACAATCATTCCGAGGTGCCTACACCTCCAGACACTCACTCAGGCGATTTGGATAGAAACTGACAACAAGAACGCCACTGACATCGGTTGGCAGCCACATATTGCAGCATCTCCAACCAGGCGCATTGAGGATCACGTGGTTCCCAACCTGGAAGGCAAGTAGCACCGACAGTTCCCAGGAGTTTCGTGATCTCCTTCATACTCCTCTACCAAGTCAAGGGTTGGCCACCTCTCTGTTTACGCCACTCCGAATTGGGCATGGAAACCAGCACTCTCTTCGGCAAACGATGGTTCGGCATACGCAACACATGTCCCAACCAACGCAGCTTCTGGTGCTGGACACATTCTTCAATGGAAGTACCAGTTACACAACCGAAAACGCGCTTTCTAACTGCCTCATCACGGATACACCGACACTAACCCACACGAGCTATAGTTCTGAGACAACGATTGTCGAACACCTGAAGACGTCTCAGTTTCGCTGCTCGAATAGGCCAAGCCTCACAGTCATACAACAAAACAGCCCGTACTGTAGCTTGATACACACGTCTCTTGAGATTCGGGGATACACCACTGTGACGCCATAGGTGTCCCAAATTAGCAAACGCGACCCGAGTCTTGCAGATTCATGCATTCACCTCATCCGTCACACCACAGTTGGAAGTAATATAATTTCCAAAGTACGTAAAACGCTCCACAACTTCGAGCGCTTCCCCCTGGATTGTAAGCGGCGTGTTTAGTGACTGGATGTTCAGGACTTTACACTCTGTGGGCGCAAAGTGAATCCTAAAGCACGGGGTGACTTTGGTACTCAGACAAGAAAAATTCGCACTGGCAAATAGAATGACCGGTCACAGACCAAA